ACGAGGAGGCGGCGCCACTTTATTTGCATATTCATGAGCTTATTTATTATTCATGAGCTTTCCCGGGCCCCCCAATATTTTTTATAAGTCCGCGTCCCTGACCGCCTCCCGCAGTTTGGTCAGGCTCATGTTTGTAGCTTCGAGAACACTATCCAACCATCTCATCCTCTGTCGTCCCCTTCTCCTTGTGCCCTCCATCTTTCCCAACATCAGGGTCTTTTCCAGGGAGTCTCCTCTTCTCATGAGGTGGCCAAAGTATTGGAGCCTCAACTTCACGATCTGTCCTTCCAGTGAGCACTCAGGTCTGATTTCCTTAAGAATGGATGCGTTTGATCTTCTTGCAGTCCATGGGACTCTCAAGAGTCTCCTCCAGCACCATAATTCAAAAGCATCAATTCTTCGGCGATCAGCCTTCTTTATGGTCCAGCTCTCACTTCCATACATCACTACTGGGAAAACCATGGCTTTAACTATGCAGACCTTTGTTGGTAAGGTGATGTCTCTACTTTTTAAGATGTTGTCTAGATTTGCCATCGCCTTTCTCCCAAGGAGCAGGTGTCTTTTAATTTCGTGACTGCTGTCACCATCTGCAGTGATCATGGAGCCCAAGAACATAAAATCTCTCACTGCCTCACTGGGGGGGGGGGTGAGGGAGGTACAATTGCCCCGGTTTTTCTTTTTAAAAAAGCGTTTGCACTTCTGCAAGCCTCGAATTCCCAAAGTGCGATGATAACCTCTCTCTCGTTCCTTAGTGGCCATGTTTGGGCTGGGATCCTTTTAACACTTAACTGCCCAAGATTGGTATTAGGGTGACAGAGAGAGTAGAGAGAGAGAACAGTGATATAAGAACCAAATGTAATAAATAATTTATTTTGGTGCTTCTATCCTGTACTTTAACTTGTGAACTGCCCTGACATCTTCATATGAAGGGTGGTATATAAATATATAAGCTGTAGAATTGGGAGATTCACTGCTCGAAATGTTCCTGGCTGTTCAGTCTGCATAACTGGAGCAGAAATAGGTGGGGGGAACCCCGGAGGCATATTGTGTGTTTCTACTGCGGAATCAAAGCAAATCTAGACTCATATTGCTTGTGAACCATATGCAAACGCTTCTGATCTCCTTAGAGGAGTAGCATGGAAATGTGAACAGTAATAAGAAAACCAGTAAATAAAATGTCGTTTTACCAAACCACAGTAACCACGAGCGACACTCACAGGTTACTCATAGGATCAGGGTTCACACCACGTGATTTTGGCAACACATGCACAAATCCAGTACTGTATGTGTTGTGCAACGAAGTGACCCAGTGTTATACTGAATTATCACTTATTCCCAGACCCCCAAAGTGGTGGAGATGCATGAACTGACTCAGCCCCAATCTTACCTGCTACTATTATACATTGTAGCCAAGTCAGGAATAATGAATAAGAATAAGAATCCTACTTGAACACATGTGTCTTATACTGTATTTTAATCCATGTTAGAATTTGTATGATTTCTGTGTTTTATTTTGTTTTTAACAGGTCTGTGATTGTATACTTTGATTTGAACTGGCAATGTTTTAAATATTAACAAAGGCTTTCCCCCAGTTCGTTTACCTTGCTGAGTGTCCTCCCCACATCATTATTTCATTACATACCATCTTGGGTAACCCTGGTAGAAAGAGTCCAGAAATTTATAAAATTAATGATCAGATCATTAAGCATAGTAAGGGGAACCTAATGCTCAGAGCCATTATTCCTTAGTGGATGTGATTGGTTCAAATTCCAGCAGAACCATAGAACACCGCAGAAGTAGGTTGAACAGATTTGATCAACAGTCATGCGCTGTTGCTTAAAAATGTAGTGCATGGTGTCCTTCAGATGTATTATACTTGAGTTCCCATTGCCCTTGATCATTGGGCATGCTCCCTGAGTCTGATGAGAGTTCCTTCCTTAGTACATTTATATCCAAGAAGCCGGCAAATATGTTCCTTCCCCCTCTATTTTATATTCATAACAACCCTGTACAGTAAGTTAGCTTGAGAGATAAGTTACCCAGTAAACTGCATGGCCAAAGGGCAGTTTGATTCTTGGTATTCCCAGTCCAACAGCATATTCACCACACCACAGTGGCTCTCCCTGGTTCTTGGAGTCCAACAACACCTGCAGGGGCACAAGTTCCCTATCCATTAAGTTTAACCTACCATCAGTCTCATTAAGCATGTCCTCATAACCCAGAGAATGAATTTGATGCACAGGAACCTGATGGCTAGGAACATATCTTTGGGACAGGAACCACAACAAATCCAAAGCTTCAGAATGTATTATGGCATAGTTTTCAGCTTCATTTATCTTTCACAACAGCTTATGAAAAGTGACTGAGCAAATCTGTGCAATAGTCATTGTAATGCACTTCACACAGCGTTCATGCACCTACTCACTTGATGTATACACTAAATGACATCCATTCAGTTCAGAGAAACAATTGCATATTCAAGGAAGAAATTAGGCCTCGAGCCTCTGCTTAGAATGTGTCTTGTCAGCCAAAGCTGCCAGTATAATATTTTCCAGTTATCTCTTTCAAGAAGCATTGACTGTGAAGGAACTTTTACTAAAAACATAATTTGAATTGTTTCAAGAAATTAGCATGTACTGTATTTTGATTAAAATATTTATGATTAAGATAATTTCTGTCGTCTTTTCCCCTAAGACATTTGTATATATAATTTTGCATAGTTCTATTATTTATTAAGGAATTTCTTAATTAATCCCCCATCCCCCAAAATGGTCAAAGCAGTTTGCAAAAAATAAGGTAATTTAAAAGCATAATGCATAATAAACCAACATATTAAAATTGTTCTTATAAATTACACAAGTATAATTAGAAATACAATTGAAATGACTTAGCTCATTAGCCACAGAAGGCCCAGCAAAAAAAGGTGGGTTTTTACCTGGTGTCTGAACAAATACAATGTTGTGGGAGGGCTCATTACACAGATGTGAGGCCACCACCAGAAAGGCTCTCCCATGGGCCCCAAACACTGTACGAGTCATTTAATTCAAGAACCACTGGGATTGCTTCTTCTGTTGATCTTCATACACAGGCAGGTCGATATGCGAGAAGGAGTTCTCTCATATTTGTGCTCCAAGCCATTCAGAGCTTTAAATCTCAACTTTACCACCTTGAATTGGACCCAGAAGATAACTGGTAACCAGTTCATCTCTTTGAGAATAGCAGTTATATGTGATTGGATCGCTGCTCCCTGACCTCCACATCCTGCTAACTGCAACATCTGTATGATCTTTATGGGCATTACAGTAGTCCATCCTAAAGGTTACCAGAGCATGGCTAATTGTACCCAGCACATCTGTGTCCAGAAAAGATTGTGGATGGTGCAAAAATACTCAAGGAGCACAGCTTCATTAGCATCAGATTCATTTATGTTTATGTACACATGGGGGATGTTGATGGGGGAGGGGAGTCCTTACCCTATGCAAAGGTTTCCACACCTGGCTTGAGATGAATTTAGGAACAGCTTAAGGACCCCAAATCAGTGT